CAGCCTAGTAACAAGCTAATAACTCCCTAGGGTGGGAGCCCGCCGCTGCCATGGAGTATAACCAGGAAAACAAAATCATGGTAATTTTGATTCAATTTTCCGTTTTCCTGGCCATATCCATGGCAGCACTGACAAATGGGGATTACCCAAGCAAAGTAAGGGCGGGACATACCTGTCCTAGGGTGGCAGGAATAAAAAAGACTGGGGAAGTCGGCAGGAGAAGGGGCTTTTATAGAGAGGGTTATGTCTTACTTTAACCCTTTTGTTCCTTTCAACTAGGGGAATTACTATGAGATTACTAAATATAACCAACAATAATGCCATGTTTTTTAATATAATTTTTATTACCAAATTTGCTATTGTCTTAGCTGAAGAAGGTAATTTACTTACGAAACTACATAAAAAAATAATATCTGTTTAACAGTGGTTTCATCTTTTTCTTAATGTTTTGCGCAGGTTTGGCTTATGAACCATTTTACACTTACAGTTTCTCTGACAATATCTGAGTGGGGTAATATCACCCTCTCATTCTCACTCTCTCACTCTAATTGAAATATAATATTTGAAGCAGTCAATATCTACTGACAATGACATCTGTCTAGTTGGGCCATGGATCTATAATGCAAATGAAAGTCGTTAGTGTAATCTATTGTACAATCTATCTTTACAAAGTCAATGATTAGTGTGCTGTTCCATCATTTTAGCTTCTAGGACAATGGGTGGCTGGTCAGAGCAGGTGCTTCACACACACTGATCACAGGATAGCAGCTTTCACAGTTCTCCCCCATTGACAATGGGCAGTTCAGTTTGGACCTCTTAGTGGAATGTAAGGAGTTCCTGTAAGACAGAATCTTAGGTATTGATGTTGGAGATCCATCAGAAAAGGAGAAGCTAAACAGTGAAACCATCCTGTTGTGGTACATGCTTTTCATTTGTTTGGCTGACCGATAAAGGTCTCCCACAAAACAATAACAAATTGGATTGAGGCTGGAGTTGGTGAGACCAAGCCACTGAGCAAAAGGTCTCAGCTGGAGGATCCATGGTGATGGAGTATCATCTTGAGTTGGTTTGGGGATGCTGAAATCAATCCATATGTCCATCATGTAAACAGGAAGCCATGAAATGGCAAAAAGTGACACCAATGACACCACCATTTTTGCAATCTTCTTCCTGATCTTAAGCCGGGAAACTGGCAAAGACTGGTTCCTAGAGTCACAGTCCTTAAAATTTCCAGAAGAACTCCACAGTTTACGTATGGTGAAGAAACAAATGACCAGGTTGAAAAGAACAGGTAAGCAGTACAAGCAGCAGAACAAAAGGAAGTTGTAGGCTTGTTTAAACATAACATGTGGCCAGATCTCCCTACAGATCGGGAACACTAAAGAAGGCAAAGACGGATCTATCTCTATATCTTCCTTTTTATTCATGAATATGAGAGGCAAGCAGATACTGGAGGACACTATCCACACCACACCAATAGTGCCATATATTTTCCTTTGGGTAAAAAATGATCTGGCGTTCAATGGGTTGTGTACATTATAATACCTGTTTACACTTATAACCGTGAGACTAAGTACACTGGCTGAAACAGATACTGCTTGGATGAAGGGTACTGCCCTACAGAGGAAGTCACCATATACCCAGGCTTTGTAGATCAAGTTCCCAACTGTAATAGGCATGCAAATGCAAACCACCATAAGGTCACAAATCGCCAGATTAATCAGAAGACTTCTGGTGGCACTCAGACTGGATGTCCTTCCAGTTCTTTTCCTAGTCAGCACTTTAATAGACATTATATTTCCGATAATGCCCACCACAAAGGACAGGATGTACATGGCAGTAAGGCTGATGGTTACAGGCTCTTTAACAAAGAGGAACAGCATTTTCTTCAACTCTTCCACATCAAACTCTTTGCTGTCATTTCCAAATATTGACATGGACTGATTGGCCTTTATAAAGAAGTCTAGTGGGGAATAGTTATACTCTGGAGTGTGAGCAGAGAAATTCATTGTTTCCTCTAGGCGGAAGAACATGACGCTGATAATTTTAGCTGTAGATTTAATTGGGACAGTTTGTCATTGCCTCCTGCAATTCTGCTGTCTTTCATTGTTATATATTGTCTTCGCATGATGCGAGTGAAAATGTCCAACACTGAAAAAGAAAATGCAATAAATATAAATTAGAATTACTTAAATAAATCAAGACACTATGTGCAAAATACATCTCAATAAACCAATGAAGTTACTTGATTAGAGTCAAGTCACAAGGACATTTTTACGGAGTATACAAAGAATTGTAGCTTTATAAAATGCTTTTGCTTAAAGCCTAACTCCGGGCTTGAGTGCTACCCCCACCAACTCCTTACCCCTATTTAGGTAGCCCCATCACCTTAAAAAAATACACAGATACAATCCTTTTTTACCAGGTGTCTTCAGTCACCACAGGCCCTCTTCACCCTCTTTCTCTAGCTGTGGGCAGATCCTAAATCAGTGGTTCTCAACCTTTCTAGGGCCGGGACCCCTTGGTAACATTTGCCAAGTTGTGGTGACCCCCGACGGTAAAATTTAGGAATGACGCGGCTGCTGCAGCGACATCTGGCGCGAGAACTGACACTGCTGCGCTAGGAGAGGGCTGAGGAGGACTCTCACCTAGCACAGCAGAAATCACACAGTGACCCACAGGTTGAGAACCACTGGTGTACGCCATCAGAATAAAAAAAAACACCATAGGAATGCATAGCTAGATTCCTAGTGGCTATTTCACTTTGCAATAGCCAATAGCAAACTAGCTATTGCACCAGCCCTCTGCTGCTGTCAATCAGTAGTGGGGACCTGACGGAGAACTTCAGGTCCCCCACTGCTGATTGGCAGCAGCAGAGGGCGGGTGCAATAGCTAGTTTGCTATTGGCTATTGCAAAGTGAAATAGCCAATCGGAATCTAGCTATGCATTCCTAGGGTGTTTATTTTTCTTTTCTGACTTACGGCGGCCTATGGCCCCTAATGCTCGGGAGAAAGTGTTTCTCTCCCAGGCGCCGGGAGCCGCTATCTAATAGCAGGAGGCTCCCGGGCGACCCCTGGCAAATCATCATTCGACCCCGAAGGGGTCGCGACCCACAGGTTGAGAACCGCTGTCCTAAATGATGCAGGGAGACGTGCCACCCAATTATTGTTTTCTGCAGCTTCTCCTATGAGTGTACAGGGCAGAGCCCAACATTTTTTATTTTTTTTGTTATGCAGTTAGGCTGCATAACACATAAAGGATATGTATTTTTTCTATGTGTTAAAGTGGATTTTAAAGAATAATAAGCTGCCCGATCCAAGAGCACACTGGAGACCCAAACTACTGTTCTTAGGCAGAGCGCAGTGGTCCAGGTCTCCGATACAGCTCACCAAACAAACAACACTCCTGCTCCCTTGTTGATTGGAGCACTCTGCCGGGGGCACATCAGACCCCTGTGCTTTAGCAGTAGTCTTTAGGTTAACTCAAGTGCATCTAAAGCCTCTTTGGGTGTAAGCAACATGTGGACAGTTATCATTCGGATTGCAGGATACCAAGGAGCCTGTATAAAAAAGTGGGTTTTAAATATGTACTAAACACTTTTTTATTTTTTAAAGTTGATTATTCTCCTGTCCCTCCTTACAATATCAAATTGAACATAATGCTGACTGAATAACAAAATATTGTGCTCATTATATATAATATATAAATGGTGCTTTGCTATTGGTCCAAACCATCCACAAAGCTCAAGCCTCTAACAAAGAGTAGAGGCTGTTGCAGCTCTGGTCTCACCAGTTAGATTATACAAGCAGTGGTTAAGCCTGCTGCTGTGTAACCTAACTTAGCTGTCAAAAGCTAGATGCAGCGTTGCCTGTAATTAACAGGCAGCGCCCATCCATGACAGGTTACACAGTGGTGAGGCTTTCCATGCTGTGTAACCTGTTACAAGCTGCTTTGAATGGAGAAAAAGCTTTTTCCTCCATAATACTAGGTGAGGCTCTGCCTCACCTGCCTACCCTGACCGCTCGTCCCTGCTCCCCAGGGCATTCAAGGCCCCCTTATAGTACTCAGTGATACCTGTAACTCTGCTGATGGTGTTAATAAAGTCACCAGAAGTAAAAAAAATGAAAGCTGATGAATGTTTCAATATAAAATAAAATTAATAGAAATAAGTATTCAGTCATTTGGAACATTGTAATTACTTCTCCAATTAACCCCAGCACACATATAAAATTATATTTACTAATATGTGACTGGAATACATTGCACATGAACATAGGAAAAAAACTGAAAAGAGAAATGATAAAAACTTTAACGTTGGTTAATCGACTTTCTGTAAGTTTAAATGTAAATTGTCTAAATGTATTTTCATTTGCTGCTCTTCTGCTAATTTGTCAAGATGCAATGAAATATTAAAGTGACACGAAACTCAAGAGTTAAATCTTAAAAATAAATTCAAGTACCTTAACTTTTAACAAAAATGTATCTTATTTGTGTATAACTCGGCTGTAGATCCTCAAATCATCTCTGAATTGGTGCTGACACTGTCCTTCCTTCTGGAGGGGGGCTACTTTTGTTCTCCATGGTCCCTGTGTGTGTTGTAAAGTAGCAACCACTCCAAGCTCACTTTCAAGCTCACTGGATGGACTACAAGCTCACATTTACAGGGTTATTCACAAAAGGGTGAAGAGTTTGGAGAAGACAGGAGAAGTGAACAATCTAGGCCAAAATAGCTGATTTGGAAAAAAATACAATTCGGCTCACTTTCCAGTTCAGCTATGTTGTCCTAGATTGTTCACTTCTCCTGCCTTCTGCAAACTCTTCACCCTTTTGCGACTAACTCTGTTAGTTTACTCATTTGTATTGAAGTTATAGTCCATCACAGTAGCGAGCTTGGAGCGATGGCTACTTTACAACACACACAACTCATTGAGAATCTTTGGGATGTGCTGGAGAAGACTTTACGCAGTGGTCCGACTCTCCCATCAAGATTTTGGTGAAACATTAATGCAAATCTGGATGGAAATAAATGTTGTGACATTGCATAAGCTTATGGAAATGATGCCACGACCAATACGTACCGTAATCAAAGCTAAAGGTGGCCTAACAAATTGTTAGAGTGTGTGACTTTTTTTTGGCCTGGCAGTGTATATGTAAAACCACTATACATGCCCTTGAAAAAGGAAAACTCTTGGCCATTTTTAATGTTGCATCAGCCAGTAATTGTAGTTTAATTATCTTTTCTGGCTAAACAAACCAACAAGCAAACACACAAACACTAAAAATAAAAATAAACCAGACAACTAATAGTTTCATACAAATACAATACAAAAGCAAAACACTTTAGGCTCCAAATGACAAATTACACCCTTTCTGAAGCCCCCGCTCTGAAAGTTTGACAACTATCAAACCCCAGGCAAAAGCTAACAAACTGGAAACATTTTGATGATATTTACTTTGGCACCAAAGCATGTAAAGGCACAGTCTGTGAAGTGTACAAATCATTCATAAAGTATCCACATCTGGGGTATCTCTGACATTACACAAAGCTTCTGTGCCGACTGAAGTGTCATACCTGATCCGGAGCAACAAGTGCTATTTATATTTTATTCAATTAGTTCAAGCACAGCTAGAAAATAAAAGGAATAAATTAACCAAGCAAAGTACAAAAATAATATTACTTGTAAAGCACCATCTGGCTTTTTAATAGAAATATAAGAGATAGGGGAGCGAAGAGAATGAAATTGAGTTTGAGAAGGCTTTTAAAGAGAAATGCCAAAACTACTTCCCCAACATTTATAATGACTACTGCCCTTCTGTGAACTGAATTATTTTCCTGTGCCACTGATCCTTTGTTGTCATGCCCCCATTGATCTTTGGCTGCTTAGGTCCGAATTGTGAGAATTTTTTAAACATGATGTTTTTTTTTTGTTGCAGACAATCATACCTGATCTTTGCTTGAATTCTTTGTGCTATGCAAACATTTCTGTCACCCAACTCCAGTGGCTAGACCAGATGACTGCTAGACCTGTTCTTGAAGCAGAACTCCAGGCAAACAGCTAGAATATACACTGAGTGGCCAGATTATTCTGACCACCCGACGTTTGTAGGCAAATTAGCTATAATTAGCTATAATTTTGCGCTGAAGTTGCTAGAGGTCCAGACCATTATAAATACGGAAGCAGGTTGTTTACCACGACAGTAGAAGTTATTTTTTTCTGAAGATATGGGTAAACAACGAGATTTAACAGCCTTTGAACGTGGGATGATTGTTGGCGCTAGAAGCCATGGAGCGAGTATCAGCAAAACAGCAGAATTCGTTAAATGTTCAAGAGCAGCTGTTGGTAAAGTGTTTAAAGACTGGACTGTCAGCCGAAAATCTGGGTCTGAACATGCGAATTGTGGTCGACAGCGACTAGTCAATGTTAGGGCAGAACGGAGAGTGGCAAGACTGGTACAAGACAACAGAAGGGCAACAGTGCAGTGTCAGATTCCTCGCATTACCTTTCAACATCTCGTGGAGTCACGAGGCGGCCCAACGAAGTCACCTCGTGGAGTCATCTCGTGGCCCAACGAAGTACTGATGGGGTGGTCATAATAATCTAGCCACTCAGTGTATTTCACCAATGGAATCCCTGAGAAATATAAGAAACGGTCAGGCGGTTTAACTCTACAACGCCAACTAACAACTGAAACAGCTCTTGGTAGACTTACCCTTTTATGCCCAATTTCCAGTTTTTAAAACTACCCCATCCTTCCCTGGAGACCCATGTGACGACATGGTGATCAGTTTATAAGTTAAATGTGTATTGGTGTTGAGTTATGTTTGAGTGCGTTATGCTGTGTGACCTGGTTATGGAAAGACTATCAGCACCACCCCTCGTTATCTCCTATTGTTCTCTGAGGGAGCTCAGAACAATGACATTCTGGCCAGGCTCTTGCTATGGCTGTCTGGAGCTCGTTAGCAGGTGGACACCTGTGGTGTTATGAAGACAGAATGTCCAGGGAGGGGACGGGGGATGTGATGGGATTATATTCTGATCTGATCACTTTCTGTATAAAAGTTTGTGCAGTTGTTCAATAAAGCAGAGTTTTTTTACCCTACACTCAAGCCTTGGCTAGTGACTGGGGAAACTGGGAGCTAAGGAT